TAATAAAGCTCCAAAATAGATTACATTAAACAAAGTACAAAAAGAACTAAAATAAATTTACTGACACAGTTCCAATTATCACTGCTCTTGCAAGGAAATTGCATAGAATCAACAAATTCCGGCATGCACATGTCATGGTTTTCCTTGGTAAAAGGAAAATTAAATCCATTTATCTGAATATGCATCAGAAACATAATGATAAAAGAAGGTGCTCTAAGTGAACCTTGCTTCTGCAACCAGCTCCTAAGTTCAGGGAACAATTAACTAGATGCACATATACATAAGTCTATAAAAATACCTGGTGAGTGAAGTTCCTTCCTGGACTCCCAAACATACGGGCCAGACCGAAGTCAGCAAGCTTGAGCTGCCCATCGGCACCAATGAGTAAATTATTTGGTTTCATATCCCTGCAACACAGCTTATCAAATGCTGTTTTTGTTAGAAGGGGATTAGCAAGATAGTAGGTACCTGTGTAGCACCCATTTCTTATGGCAGAATGCTAGGCCTTTTAACATCATCTGGACATATGATTTTGTGTCAGCTGGAGATAGTATTATGTTCTTGTCTTTTATGAGAGCTTCCAGATCAGTCTCCATAAACTCAAATACAAGGTGCAAATTTTCCTTGTAAGGGAAACAATCAATCAGCTCTATAATATTAGGATCTTTCAGCTCCTTAAGTAGTTTAATTTCCCTCAATGCGGTGAAGTTGACACCTTCCTTCTTGTCCTTCCCAATCCGGATTCTCTTTACTGCGACTGTATTTCCAGTCTGAAAAGGAACAGCATCCAGCAACTCATGAACAAAACAGGTCAATCAGAATGAAAACTACTACTCCCTCCGTTCCAAATTATAAGTCATTTTGGCTTTTCTAGGTACATTGTTTTTATTACGTATCTAGACATTTTTTAGACCAAAGACGTTACTTACAGTACATACGTATCTAGACATAGTGTATATCTAAGTGCATAGCAAAAGATATGTATCTAGAAAAGCCAAAACATCTTATAATTTGGAATGGAGGGAGTACAAAATATGAGTGAGCATTAAGAACAGCTGGAAGACTAAACTGTGGTGATGCTATCACAGCCACATATACTTCACTGAGAAAAGAATAAACCATGATAACACCACTTAAGAGTTAAGACCAGTGAGAACACACCCCACATCTGCTGTCACCCTTACACACCTGGAACAATACACAAGTCCACCAAAAAATCAATCCCGGTATACAACAGAACACGAGAACTACAGCTGAACCATTCACATCGTAGTGTCTACACTAACAGTTCAATCAACGCACGGCTAAACAAAGCAACACAAAATCACCAATTTTATTCTCATCAGAGCGAATCGCAGTAGAACTACCCGAGTCCGAGTCAATCCAGAGCGAAGCCCCAACCACTCAATGACGCCAATTCACGAGCTACACCGTGCAAAACCCTCCCTAAAGCTAAATCCCGCGACCACCCTGGCCACGCTCGAAGCCGCATGGATCGGACTAGCAAAAGCTCTAATTCTCGACTTGGTGGCCGCCCGCAGATCAGAAAGGGAGGGTTTAGGAGATTGGTGTGGGAAGGGGACCTTGGTGTCGATGGCCTTGAAGACGACTCCGTACGTGCCCTCGCCGAGGACCTCGCCCTTCTGGTAGCGATTCGCCAGGAGCTTCCCTCCTGCATCGTCATCCCCGCTGCCGCTGTTGCCGGCGCTCGCCATGGGGGGCGGGTCCCCAAGCACCTCCGCCTCACACCGGGAGGGCGGCGGCGCGTCCGAGTGGGGCGGCGCGCGCTGGGCCCAGCGGGTCCGGAGGCAACGGCGCGGGAGAAGGGAGCGCACGCCTGGGCGAGGCGGGTCGGGTGCGGCGGGCGGCGCGAGCTGTGGTCCGGACTCTCGGCAGCCGCAGCACTGCCGTTCGGCGTTCGGCACCGGCGATGAATTGATTTTGGTTTACGTTCACTTTATTGATTCCGGCTCTCTAGGTCTGATTTTTCCTTTCTCGTTTTTTACGAGTAGTTTCGACCGTTCGACGGACGTGTGGGCAGTGTGAGGTTGCTGCGTTCCGTTTCCATTGCCCGTTGGGACCGGTTCTTCGCGCAACCTGCTCCCTGACCGTTGGGACCCATTTGATACTAAACCGAATAGAGGCAGAAGGACAACGTATTATGTATCGCTAATGATAAGCGCGCCGCACTCCAGCTGCGTATTAAAAAAAATCGCTCGTCTTCTCCGACGCAGCTGCTCAGGGTCACTCGTCTCAGGCAGCGCACCCTCTGCCGTGGCCTTCTCCAGGGTAGCGGTGCCGCACTCATGCCCCATCCTAGCTGCTCCGCGGTCTGCGCCACAATCTCACCCAGGGCTGGTTTGGATTATAAATTTGTGCAACCTGGATATTGTAGCATATTTTGTTTGTATTTGATAAACTTTGTCTAATGATAGATTAACTAGGCTCAAAAGATCCGTCTCGTGATTTACAACCAAACTGTATAATTAGTTATTTTTTTTACCTATATTTAATGCTTTTCATGCATGCGTCAAAAATTGATGTGATGGAGAGAGAGTGAAAAATTTTGAAATTTGGATGTAATCTAAACAAGACCCCATTGCGAAGGGGAGGCATGCGCTTGCACCTGGGAGGCTGTGCCTGTGCCCTCATCAATCTCGCATGACGGCAGGAAAGGGAGGCTTGCACCTAAGTATATGGGGTCGTTGGTGTCCCCCCTGACTAATACATATTGCAATAGTATGTTTTAAGTGTTTTAGATGTTCTAGAGATATGTTGCAAGTGTTGTATATCGATGTTGTACACGTTGTAATGGCTATATACACGTATGTTTTAAGTGTATGTTTTAAATATTTCATCTGTTTAAAACGTACTCCTTTCATCCTAAATTGTAAGACATTTGACTTTTTTTGCTCCAAGTTTGACCACTCGTCTTATTTAAAAAATTTGTGCAAATATAGTCAAATTTAAGTCATTCTTGAATAATTTTTATTAATAAACCAAACCACGACGAAAGAAGTGATATTTTACACAAATTTTTGAATAAGACGAGTGGTCAAATTTGGTGTCAAAAAAATCAAACGTCTTACAATTTGGAATGGATTGAGTATGTTGTAAGTGTTTTATCTGGATGTTGTAAAATTATATCTGAATGTTGCATATACATGCATGTTGCAAGCATATGTTTTCAAGTGTTTCATTTGATTTCAATGGTTTTCAAATGTTTTTCAGACGTTTTTGCAAGTGTTTCGGACTACTTTGTTTCAAGTGTTTCATCTTTTTTATGTTATAACTATTGCATCTGGATGTTTCTAGATTAGATCGAGTGTTGCACATGGGATACGCATGGGAAGCGGCTGGCGGCGCGGGCAACGTTCGGGGCGGCGTGAACAACGTCTAGGGCAGCACAGGCCCACTGCTAGTGCGCTCGCTTGCGAGCCCGACCCTAGGCACTCGCTCCTTCCCTATGTAGGTATCGTCCGAACAGATGTCCAGATTATATGTCCGGGCGCTAGCAAGTCCGATTTTATATGGATTGTTCGTCTTATATTTTATTTATAAAATGGGTCAATAATTGGTCAAAGGATTCTATCTAAACAGAAATGAGATATATATATATATATAGACGGAAGTGAGCATGTAGATAGGTTGTTCGGTTTAAATAAGAAATGATTTGGAATGAGGTGGTACATCATGTGTTTATTACATGATTTTAGCTTTTTGTGTTGCTTCGTGGGTCAGGACTGGACAGGACAAGGTGATTCTAGATTCATAGGATGTGTTTGATTACATGGGCTGGACTAGGCTTAAATTTTAAGCCAGGCCAGACTCTAGCAATACAATCTGTTGGTGTTTGGTTCGCTTGTATAAGCTAAGCCTGTATAACAAATCTTTTGTTTGGTTGCATGGCTATAGTGATAGAAAGACCTTGGAGGCGGGGTGGCGTCAGGCGGCGCGGAGTTGTGCGCTACCGGGCGTGGGCGGGGTGACGCAGCGGCTTGCGCAGCCAGCGGTGGGGAGAAGAAGAAGAGATGGGGCAGCAGTGCGAGTAGCGTGCCGCCACGGACTCCATCTTCTTCCCCGCGGCCGAAGATACGGAGACCGCCGCCGGAGATGCAGGAGACCACCGCCAGAGGCATCGCGGGGCGAGAGGGAGGTGACGGGATTCTTGTAGGGAGGCACTGATAGCTAGCACAAGAGCACTGATAGCTAGCACAAGCTTGGCTTACTGGAAACGGCCACCTCTCTCGTTTCCATGAAGCCTGGCCAAGGTGTACCTTTTGCACTAGTAAATCTGGCTACAACCATAAAATAGACAACCAAGCCTGGTGGGGGGCTAAGCCACCCAACCAATCACACTCATAGTGTTTGGACGAGAAGCACATCTTTCCCGTGACATTTGTGGATATGAAATTGTACTGGGGTCGTCCTATCTTTGGTATGTAAAAGCCACCTCATGCTATGCGTTGGATATATGGAGCTCCTACTGAAACTACTCAGATGCAAGGTCCAAATTTAAAAACCGACTAACTGAGCTCATCATACGCACCATGTGCCAAATCATGGGAGGGCACAAAGAAGTGAGAGTAATAAACATAATTCAGCTTGAGTAGATAGAAGCACATGCACGATGTCAAATCTTCCAAATTCTAAGAACAGGCACATCATGACTTCATTTGTCAAATTTGATGAAATGACGAGATTCATAAGACTAGTACTAATTGTTAGTTTATAAGGAATGAGGTGAATGAAGGATCAACCCATTTCATTCTATGACCAAACAAAAAAGCGAGAAATGAAAATATGATAAATAACTCATTTCTCAAACAAAACACCCTATAAATATTATCTGATCACTCTCATGCAAGAAGGGTGTAATACTGTAATGCATTATTCATACGAAGGGTAACACAGGACACAAATCACGAGCTCCGACTACGCCAATACAACAATGAACTCCCCCAGCAGTAAACAAAATGAAAATTAAAGATGGAAATGAATTAATTTGCATCTGCTGTTTCCTCGGGATCAGTATCTCTGCAATTAGCCCCTTTCTCCGCCAACTTGTGACAAACATAAATGAAATGCGACTCTGGATCTTTGAGAACATAGTCAGGTGGTAGTTGATCATCGTCTGTGAGTGCAACTTCCTCCATGATAGGCCGTGGAGCACCTTTACTCATTCTCAGTTGGTATCCAGGTGTGGCTGTGAACAAAAAAAATAGATCTGATGTCAAGTCTGTACAATTCCAACATTAAGGTATCCATTTGCTTTCGCTATAACTTTTTTCATTCAATATTGTTTGTTGCAATAAGAAGTTTTTTCATTATTAAAGAACTTTTGAAATTTTCAAATGTTTTTTCCTCGACCAGCTCCCAAGTCTCGTTTTTCTCGTCCCCAATTTGTATCGCACTCGGCCAGCGCGAACGTGGGTGGTTCCTCTGCACTGACGAGAAACAACTCTGGGTCATTGAGCAGCCGACCCGCCAGGCCTGAGGACTCTGTGCCGCCGACGACGTCGTCCAGCCTGCAGAACCGCATCTCCTCACGCTCACCGTCGTGGAAGGCATCTACGAATTCGGTGATGTCGCTCGGAGGTGAGGCGAACTCGATCGACGTCGATGGAGTCCTCTGTTCCGCCGGAGTGGTCGGCACAGCACCTGGAGTGCTCGGCACCCCGGCTGCAGTGCTTGGCACTACTCTTGGACCGCTCATCACCACTCCTGGAGTGGTTGGCACCAGTCTTGGAGTGGTCGGCACCACTACAAGACCTCTCGGCTCCGCTACGGGAGTGTTCAGCACCCGTCCTAGAGTGGTCGGCACCACTGCAGGACCGCTCAGCACCACTCCTAGAGTGCCCGGCACCCCTCTCGGAGTGCTCAGCACCGCCCTAGGAGTGCTCGGCTCTGTTGCTGGAGTGGTCGGCACCTCCTCTCCAACGTCTCCACCACCGTGGATGACCAAATGCTCGTCGACGAAGGTGCTGGTGAAGCCACCAGCTTCCCCCGTGCCCGGACTGTCCCAGTCCTAGGCCACCTTCTCGTCGAACACGACGTCGCACGAGACAACCACCTTGCCTCCGTGTGGATCGTAGAGCCGGTACGCCTTGGTGCCCTCCTCGTAGCCCAGGAGCACCATCGGCGTGCTCCTGTCTTCCAACTTGCCGAGGTGAGGCTTGGTGTTCTTCACATGGCCGACACAGCCAAATGTCTTGAGGAAGGACATATTCGGCTTGCGTCCATGCCAAGCCTCGAACGGCGTCTTGTCCTTCAGGGCCTTAGTAGGCACGCGGTTGAGGATGAACACCGCCGTGGTCACCGTTTCTCCCTAGAACTTTGTCGGCATGCTTTTGGCCTTCATCATGGATCGAGCCATGCCGACCATCGTCTGGTTCCGCCGCTCCACCACGTCATTCTGCTGTGGCGAGTACGGCGCGGTGTGGTGTCGCACCACACCCTGATCCGCGCAGTACACAGCGAACTCCACCGAAGTGAATTCACCGTCGCGATCAGTCCGCAGCACGCGTAGCTTCTTGCCGCTCTCCGCCTCCACACGCGCATTGAACTTCTTGACCGCTTCCGCTGCCTTGGTCTTGCTGGTCAGAAGCTGCAGCCACATGAACCGGCTGCAGTCATCCACCAGCAAGATGAAGTACTTGCGCCCGCCGTGCGTCGCCGGCGTGATCGGCCCGCAAAGGTCACCATGGACCAGCTCGAGGGCCTCTGCCGCGCGGTACTTCGCCGTCTTCGGGAACGACAACCTTCTTTGCTTCCCGACCAGGCAGCTGTCACACAGCTGGCCTACGTGCTCGATATGAGGCAGCCCAGTCACCATCTTCTCTAGCCGACCAAGAGCGTCGGCCATACCGGGCACGCCACAGCCACGTCTCCTCCGTGTGTCGTGCAGCCAAACAGATGGGCTGGTCCACATTCAAGTCGAGCAGGCACAGCCGATTCCGGGACCTCTTCACCTTGGCAAGAAGCCGCTGCTCTCGGTCCTTGATCCTGAGGACGTCGTCCTTGATCAGTACCTCGCTGTCGCGCTCATCCAGCTGGTCAATGCTGATGATGCTTGAACGCAGTTGCGGGATGTAATATACATCCGTCAGTGCGCGGTGCTCGCCACCCTTGAGCCACCACCGAACTTCACCGTGCCGGTCACGTTGCCGTCAAGCTCAGAGAATGCTTCCTTGGAGCCCGTCATGTGGTTCCTAGAGCCGGAGTCCAGGTACCACTGCTACTCCTGGTCGCCGCCCACACGTCCGAGGTGGACTTGGGCGCCCGGTTCGTCGAGGTTGACAGCCTTCAGAGCCTTGTCATGCCCTTCCACCGCCATCACCTCTCCCTTCTCCTTGGCCTCAACGTCGTGCAGTGCACAGAACGTCGTCATCAGGAGAGTGGCCTCATCATCCTCATCAGCCTGCGCTAAATGAGCCCCAGCCTTCTTCTCCTGCTAGCGATTTGGGCACTCCTTTGCCCAATGGCCCGTCTTCCCGCAGCGTCGGCAGGCGTTGGGGTCGACCTTCTTCTTTTTCTCCGAAGAAGCCTTGCCACGGCGCTTGCCATCGCCACCGCGGCAGGAGGAGGCTTCCTCGGACTTTTTTTCCTTCATCCGGGCAGCCCACTCCTCTTCTGTCAGCAGCAACTTGCCGCTGTCCGTTGTTGCTGTGGCCTGCTCCATGCGCTCGTCCACCGCCCGTAGACGGCCTGTCACATCCTCAATGGTGAGGATGGACAAGTCCAGCATCGTCTCTATGGAGAGAGCGATCTGGATGTACTTCACCGGCACGAAGTGGAGGTAATTGGAGACCGCCTCTTCTTTATCGATGGTGACGTCGTGGCTCCTCAGCTTGCTGATGAGTGACTGCAGATAGAGGGAGAAGTCCTCCACCGACTCACCATCCTTGAGCTTGAGGTTGGCGTACTCCTGCTTCAGCAGCTGGGCCATCGCCTTCTTTGCGCGGTCGAAGTCGACACGCATCGCTGCAATGGCCTGCCACGCCTCCTTAGCAGAGTTCTTCGCCCCCAACGGCTCCCTATACTTCGCTGCCACAGCAGCGATGATAGCCTTCAACGCTGACATGTCGTCTTCTTCGTTGTCGGTGCCCTTGTCAATGGCTTTCTAGAGCCGTCGGGCTCTGAGCTTGACCTTCATGGTCATCGGCCACTCGCCATAGTTGGTGCGAGTCAGCATCGGTCAACTAGTGCCGCTGACCTCCCGCACCGTGCGCACGACGACCTCCTATCGTGGCTAGGCAGCCACAGCAGCGCCGTTGTTGTCGCCCATCTCCGAACCGTCCGTCTTTACTAGCGGTTAGTCCGGCGACGGCGCATGTACGGCTCCAATACCACTTGTTGGTCCCTCGGCTGCCCTGCACAGGTAAGCAGTAAGCTTACCAGCACACTCACTCACTATAGCTAGAGGTAGAAGAAGATATTAAGAACAACTCACACACACAGCACAAGCCCAGCGCTGACCGAAAGCTCTGCTTTTGGATGTGGCAAACTGAACTGACTTCACTGAGTTGCAGTGGGAAGCTATATATACAACTCTACCCATCTAATCCTAGTACACAGACATAACAGGCTGCCATGCTGCTACAGTGACTATATATGACAGCAAGACTGACTTTAGCGCCTGCCCCTGTTGTGGCTACAGTGCGGCAGAGGAGCCTTTCGGCGTCTGCCCCTGCCGCGGCTACAGTGCAGCAGCAGGGGAGCCCTTTCGGCGCTGGCCCCTGCCGCGCGTACAAAGGGAGAACAGCAAATTACTTTACAAAATCACCCTCCCACCCCTCATTCCTAGGGACCCTACACCAAGCCCTCAAACGACAGTTGTGCTCGTTTCCCTCTCCGCCCATGCAGAATTGCATCCGCGCCTTCCACATCCACCTCGCGCCACCACCGCCCTTTTCCCCAGCTCTTCTACACCGGCAACCTCTCTCCTAGCGGCGACCTTCAACGCGGCAACCTCCAGCACGGCTCCCTGGCGAGGAATATTATCCGACGCAGCTCCCCTGTCGAGGAACCTCGGCCCGGCGGGGACACGCCTCAGTGTGGCTCCTCCCTTTCTCGCCCTTGCCCGACGCAGCTCCCCACTGAGGGACCTCCACAGCTCCCGGCAAGGGACCTCGACGCTCGACGCACCTCCACAAGGGACCTTCGCCCTCGTCGGCCTGACACGGGGTGCCTGGCACAGTTCCTTCCCTTCGCAGTGACACTTCCACCGGCATAATCTCTCCGTGCTACCCATAGCTCTATTGAATAGAGCAACACTGGATATGGGAGAGAATGAGGAGTGTACGACGCTGGATATGGGAGAGAATGAGGGGTGGATCTGGCGGAATAGATTTGAGGGCTTTGATTTGAGGGGAGTTATTGGAGTAGATGTAAAAAAAATTAGACCTTCAAAAATAGGAAGTGCGTCAAATCAAAAGTAGGGGCCCTAATTTGAGGGCTCCTGCTAGAGTTGCTCTTACACGCACAAATCCATATGCAAGCTATCGCTGTCCTCAATCCAAGCCCAACCTGCATCCCACAATTAGGCCAAATCCTACATATCTATCTATGCACCCTCCTTCCCGCACCCGCTCTTTCTTCTCAAAATCCCAAAATAAAAGGTGATGAGTTGCAATCCCATTCTAAGGATTCTTTTGGTTCTGGGGAATCCAGTTATAGAAGAACCAGGAACGGAGAGCTCTCCCCCTTTTCCGCCTGACTCTTTGATCTTAACTTAAGAATGCTGGTTTTAAGAACGAGTGATTGCCCTTCTCCGACCCTTACTGCCCAACCGGAGAGCGGATGGCTAATGTGTTCCACTTATTGAATAGGATCTATAGTCGGTCCATGACCCCTGGACGCCGAAGGCGTGCATGGAACCTATCACACGTATAACACCGTACAACCTCCTATTTAGACGAACCAAACAACAGCTAAATGTGTATCCTTATGCAGATAAGGATATGCTGCATAACTAATATGATGCAATAATAATGCAAGGAACCAATCAGACCCTTTGAGTTTTACAGATATGAATAGAAGCAAATGAAAAGAATATTCATTTAACTTTTATCGTTTAGTGAAGAGAATCCTCAAAAAATAAGGATCCCATGTTACTAGTCATAACAGAGGACAGGTATTAAGAAACAACAGACTAGGGCAGAGTGCTCTGGCGGAAGGGAGAGTGATTCAAACTTACGCATGATGTAGAGTGCAATACTCCAGCTGCATCCAGACTGGTTCAGAAGTGGGACTCGTTCCTTAGGAGCACCATATGTTATCTGCCAGAAGACAATCTCTCTTCATATAATAATCTCATTAGGATTCAGAACAGAGTGGTTTTTGAACTCAGATGATGTACCAATAAGTAGACCCCATGAGGCATCAGAAGCCTGCACGAATATATACAGTATACATAAATTCAGGAAAACTGATGCATCAGTCTGGATTGTTTGATAAGCAAAGAGTGAAGAAAACTTTTGTCTTAAACCTTGCCACTTCTGCTAGCATTTTGGAAGCACCATGAGCATCATCAGCACACTGGAAAATTATAGCAATACCGATCTCAACAAATGCCTAATCACAAAGCTGATATGTAGTTCACTTGGTAGATAGTGCTTACCATCATAGCATCCAGGGTTCCTAAAGAGAAAGGTTCAACAAACTAACCCATAAATGAAGTAGCACAAAATGGATCGATTTGTATGACATTCGTAAAAAAAGATTTCAATTGAGCACTAAAGTAATGAAGCAATTCCATTTTAATGGCTTTGGAGTAAATGTGATGCTAATAATTTACCTTTATCAAGGACACAATCAAATGATTCGTCACCAAAGAAACCCATGTCCCTAATATCCATCTGCATATCTTAAAGCATAAGAAAACCAAGTCAATAGACTAATATAGAGGCCTTAAGTTATGAAGATGAAACTATCACAAGCACTACATGTTAGCTGTGTGATCTCCTTGTGTTTCTCTCTCATCTGCTCGATGACCACAGATGAAATGTCTATGTTTACAATGTCCTCATAACCATCCTTCACCATGTCCTCTGACAAAACTGACCAAATCAAGATAAGAACAATATCAGGTAGCATCACGAAGTTGATTGTTCAGTGCACGTGATACCAAAATAATAATCTTCGGCAGCCAAATTACAATATAACTTCAGTGTCATCAAGATTTTAAACCCACATTGCTTACCATAGCTAGCTTGCAGAAAGCGGGATAGAGCCAGCCAACATGAAAAAAAAAATGCATGGAAGAAAGGGAGTCAAGGGAGCACTGAGCATAGGCATACACAATTGGAATACCACAACGGATGAACGGTATAGTTATGTAGAGCCGAAGCTAACAGACGCTCTGAGCTGCCGACAAATAAGCATTTAAATAAATTGGTGAATTTTTCATCAAAAAAATTGGTGAATTTAAAATGTCTATGACTGTCATTTTGGAACGCAATTCAAATTAGTTCGATCTCAGAGCAGCCGGATATTTCGGACCCGGTGAGGGGAACTGCAAATCTGCAACACCAAGCTGCATGCTCTAGCTCCGCCGTGAAGCATGGAAAACGTAGTAGTTACAGTATGCAAATAACAGCAGCTTGTGAGTTGTGACTGAAGGGAGACGTACGGGAGTTACCGCAGCCGAGCATGAGGACGCGGGAGGAGGCCGGGACGCGGGCGCGGAGGAGCGACCGCAGCGCCGGGTACGTCTGGTACCAGTCGAAGAACCCACAGCCGGCGGCGGCGGAAGTTGGGGAGCCGGAGGAGTAGCGGGCGTCCCAGTATGCGGCGGCGCCGTAGTCGTTGCTCTTGCACTCGCCTACCCCCATCCGACCCGCGGTGCTGCTCCCTTCCTTCCCTGCTTGCTCACGAAGAGAGGGGAGAGCGGTTTGAGGCAGGCGGCTGGGCGGCCGGACAAGGCGTCAAGGCGTGTAGCCGTGTAGCACCTGTCTCGGGATCCATGGCTAAAGTTTACTCATCGTTAATGCTTGGGACTGATTAGAACGACTAGTCAGCTAATTATAAAACTAAGAAAAAATTGATTCTATAGCATCAGAAGATGACCAATTTTAAAAAATAATATTGAAAGTTCGTCATTCCGTAAAATAACATTGAAAGATTGAAAGTATAAAACGTTCGCCTAAAGTAGCATTCCGTCATATTTGCTGTTAACGTCGTCTGTTGGTTGTCGTCCAAGCATGTACTCAACGATTTCCTCCGGCTCACGAACGGCCATGGCATCTTCCGCTGAGGCGTAGACACGCGCTCCGCTGCGGTGACTCCGTGAGGCTACTAGCGCCCTCGCGCCTTCGCTCGCCATTCGCAGCTGCCATGCGCGTGGTTTCCAACGACGACGTCAACATGTGGCACCGCCAGGAGGACGTACCGCCAGTGGAGCTGCCCTTGCGAGGTGCAGCGGCACTGCGCGGCATGATGATCTGCAAAAGATGGAAATATAATTATATACGTTCATGGCTGAAACAATTAATATGGTCGATCAACAGATTGAGCATTCGGCGGCCGCAAACAACCAGCAGAGCTACGAGCGGAGATGCGCTAGTTACATTGATGTGGGCCGAGGCGCGGACACGGACTCCAACCTCGTGGGGTGTTCAGAAGTTGCAAGAGATCAGGCCACCACCACACATACCACAAACTTATTTTTGGAACATTCTTGCTCTTATGCTGCTGGCATATCTGGAAACGCAGGAACAACACGGTCTTCCGGAATGATCAGACTAGCAGGCGCTTTGGCAGTGTGTAAGACAGAGGCAAACCTGTGGCGAGTCCATCTGCCGAGAAAAGATAGGCAGACAGCAGATGATTGGTGCTCTATCCTTACTACCACAATGTAAACCTGAACTAGTCTTATCTTTGAACCGTGTACTGCTACATCTGGCCTAGAGGGCCACTGAAATCAATATAATCTCAGGTGGGGATCCTCCCCAGTCGACTTATCAAAAAAAACCTCGTGGGGTCACCACAACGCAGCGCGGCCTGCACTTGCATCTCGAACTGGAGCCCTGGACCATGGAGTGCAGCGAACGCGACTTGCGCCTGGCGGATGCTACCATGACCGTTTGCTGACCCGCCTCGCTCACATGTCACCGGCATGATCCTCCTCTCCTACGGGCAAGACACTTTCGGTTGCTGGACGAGCGTCAGGCCCGATGGCACCAAGAGCTACGCCGTCCTCGTGCCGTCAAAGCAGTCGGCCGGCGCCGATCCTCACTTTCGGCTTTGACACCGACCACGCCGCCGCCGCGATGCACACCGCCGCGGAGGCCACGGGCGGCACCTTCTCCTTTGTCGGGAACTAGGCGGCGATCCAGGACTCTTTCGCGCTGTGTCAGCGGGCTCCTCTCGGTGGCCGTGCAGGAGGCGCGTGTCGCCGTCGCGTGCCTGCACTGGGGCGTCCGAGTCCAGGAAGGCAAGTCCGGCGCCGGGTCCAGGAAGTCAAGTCCGGTGCCTACGGCAGCCACTTGGGCGCCGATGGCCGCGCCGCCTCCATCGAAATGAATAGTCAGGAACGGCGTTAATGGCAAACGTGATAAAATGCTAATTTATGGTAACGTTCAGTCTTTCAATGCTATTTTATGGAACGACAAACTTTGGATGGTATTTTCCGAACATACCAATCTTTCAATGCTATAGAACCAATTTTCCTAAAACTAATTGTAGAACCCATAAGTTAATTTGCGAGACGACCCTATTAAGCCTAATTAATTCATCATTAGCAAATGTTTACTGTAGCACCACATTCTCAAATCATAGACTAATTAGACTTAATATATTCGTCTCACAAATTAGTCTAATTAGTTTTGTAATTAATCTATATGTAATACTCTTAATTTGTATCTAAAAATTCGATGTGACAGAGCTAAACTTTAGCCAGCAGGAAACAAACATGAATGGAGAGAGTTTGAACGAATGGAGAGGCAGCGAGAAGCGAGATGTTCTCGGGACAGGCAGCGGAACTGCAGGAGGGTGTGTTTGAACGAATGGAGAGACTAGTTTTCGTGAACAGCGTGATTGCTTGCTGTATGATCTCGGTCTGTTCACCACGCTCGTATGTATGACCATCAAAGATTCATAGTCCTATACACCATTTGGTTGATGTGGTCAGAATATCTCCAACATTTTGCAATGTTGCCAAGTCAGAATTCAAACAAACTATATCATTTTGGGCAGCAAACTAGTGAGTAACGATGATTACAAACTAAACACAGAAGCATAATAATTGAACTGAAATCCATGTTGCGAGCATAGCAAAGTATTTTGTGCAATTTCTGAAAGGAACACAATTTCTTCAGCATTATATAGTCCTATACACCTTTTTTTGGTCAACCATCTTGTATTATTTACAGATTTAGGACTGCTTCTAAATGTAATTGGCTAGAGGCTAAAATTAGAGCTAATCCATCCAAACCCCTTAAATCAATAAATCTTATTAATAGTCTAAATTAAATCACCTAACTAATAAAATGCTATTAGCTTAGTTCCACAAGTAAAGTATAGCCAACTCTTAGCTCTAATAGATATATAAACAACCTAGCCAATGGTCTAGTTAATAAAAAAATAATCTAAAAAAGAATGACATTTTAGTTTGTCCAAGTTAAACTATTTTGAGTTTGATAAGTTTATACAAAAGCAGACAATATTTATATCATTAAAGCCCTGTTCGTTTCTCTTATAATCTGTCTTTTTCAGCCGGAACAGTGTTTTTCTCTCACAACAAATCAGCCGGAACAGTGTTTTGGCTTGTTTTTTCAGCGAAACGAACAGGGCCTAAATAAATGTCATTCATGAAATGTAGTTTCATGGTATGCCTATTTGGTGTTATAAATGTTAGCAATCTTAACTACTCCCTCTATTCCAAATTATAAGATGTTTTGGCTTTTCTACATACATTACTTTTGTTGTATATTTAGACATAATGTATATCTAAGTGCATAACAAAATCAATATATCTAGAAAAGTCAAAGCGTCTTATAATTTGAAAACGGAGGGAGTATAAATTAGCTACATTTAAAATAGTTTGATTTAGAACAAACTAGAGTTTCAATTTTTGGTGGGGGTAAGGGGACGGAGGCCTCTGGTGGGGTGCTTCCTCCCTTCATCTTGAGTGGGTATATGCAGTGGGACCACTTAATCACGTCAATTTCTTTACTTGTGGGCCCTTCAATCCATGTGACTTGATCTTGAGACATCCGAAAGAAACACAATTTTGATTCAAGGGTGGATATTGCATGAAAGTGTGTTTCTTGGCTCGTGGAAGGATTGAGGGGTAGTAGGATCCACTAGGATGGTTGGCCAACCCCCTAGGGTGGGCCCACTTGACTCCATTTTGTGGCAGAACCACCTAATCTAATGCCCTCTCAAGAGTACTTGTCTTCCATTAGACACGAAGTACCTAAGAGAGTGCACTAAATCGTGCCATTCCGTCAAGCACACCCAAGGGAGAACTCGAAAATCCACAATTTTCCATCAGGATCATAAATGAGAGAATAAAGCTTACAACATCTTTAGCCATTTCTTACATCACTTTGTTACAGTAGCAGAATATTACCTCAATTGATTATAACAGCGGAATATAATAATGCTATCAGAGCTTTCAAATAATAAATGTATATAATGATAAGTTTACACGCTAACATGAGGAACATTTATCCATATGGAATGATAACAGACTGTAAGTCTTTTCCTTTGCAAAAACATTTTGTGACAATTTGAATAAACTCTACGTCAGCAATGGAAGGAAATCCTCGCTGAGCCCACCAGGAGGTTTTCACACACAAAAGTCGTCTACCATCCATCGGTCACCTACAACAAGGGGAATAAAACCCTGAGTACTCAATTGTACTCAACAAGACTTACCCGATAGGAGAAAAATAAAAGACTCTAAGGATATGCAAGGCTTATTTGACTTATGGGTAATTGCATCTGCGGAAGCATTACTAAACGTGTGTCATTATATTTAATTTTATTAGCAGTCATCATTAGTTCTTTAACTAACCATTCTATATAAGCACCTATGCTACTTTCAAGCAGGTGGAAAGCAATCATAACCATTTTATCATCTTTTATATTCTAGTTCTTACTACGGTGCTATACCATAGCCAAGTCGGTATCGTCTCATAGAAACGACGATTCGCGAATCAATGTATCCCAGCTGGGTACCCCGAAACACACGCCTCGCTTGTACCCCAAGCACAAATAAGACCAACCCATTCCTTTCCTATCAAGGGGTCCAGGTCACCGTCCAAACTTGGACTCCAAGCCCCCAACACCTGAGACCCGATCTCAGTATGGTGCTTAGACCTCCACCTAATATCCATCCCTAAAAGCCGGTCCAAAAAAAGCCGGAACCTATGATAAGAGAGTAACAAGTCTTTCCGCTCCCATAAGCAAGTATGTGCTCAGGATAATAAGTCTATGACCTGACTACCATCCACAGCAACGGACGGTCCTCAATCGACACAGGCAAGACAAATGCAACCAGAGCCTCGCTCGGTTGCCTAACCGAGTCCAAATCCAAACCCAAAGTATGGTCCCGCCCGGTCTCCAATTATTATCCATATATATAATCCATGTGATAGTTATATGATAATAAAAACAATAATATCTTTCCTATCTCTCGCGAGTGATAGGTAATCACTCGACTTCTATCGGAGTCCTGTAGCATAGCAATCTACATGATCCTGACATACTAGTAGGACTCATAGGATAAGGATATATATGCAAGTGGGTTTCGTTCAACTCCTTGAAACTTAATGCTCAAACATAAAATAAGTGCAGAATAATAGAGGTCATGCACCGCGGCTTGCCTGAGTAAGATATAACCAAGGATTAGCATTCCATCGGGGCGACACGATCACCAAGGCTCCATCTTTTCTGCTTTTCCGGTCGACTCCACGATCCATCGTTGTCCCTATTATGATATACGTAGACACAACGCAGAAAATGTAATTAACCAACGGCAACCGCAACTCTAAGAATACGATTACGCCTCACAATTTTTGGCCAACTACACAAATTTCTATTGAATTTACAAGTTTGGTTTTAGAAACTAATTTAGGAAATGCTTTAGAAAAGAAAAGTGCAGGTGGTGACTTAATCGGCCCAGCAGCCCAGCGCGGGGGCAGCCACGAGCGCATCGCGATGGCCCAGCACGACCCAAGACTAGAAGGCCCCAACGCACGCTTGTGTTTTGCAAAGGACCCCCCGGACTAACCGGTTATTATGTGGCGCCTCTTATCACTATTGCACGAGAGACGTGTTTTACAGTAAGGACCTTGGAACATGTTACCTTTCACAACGGGGCGGTCCCCGCCGTACCCGCGCGCGATGGCGTGGCACACCGGCGGCAATGGCGGTTACGCTGGGCGTGCTAGACCCGCTGCAACAGGAATAAAGGGCCGACCACCATCTACGGCTAAACCCGCAAGCATGGATGGCGGTTGGGAACTCAGCGGCGTACTGCCGGGAGCGACAGCGGTGAGCGGCTAGCCACGGCAGTGGCGTGCCTGTTCTGATGAACCTACGTACTCTCGGAAGGGTAGAGGTGGCGAAGAAGCATCCGTAGCTCACCGTGGTTCATGCTCTAATGATGGTTGAAACAGGGGAGCGCTAGGGTGGTCTGGCCACGTGCGACCGAGCGGACGGTGGCTCTCCGAGCGTGGCACTGTCGCATCACCGCACCCACGACGAGAAACCAAGCCAGCCCCTGATCCACTGGCTACGGCGGCGCCCATGGCCGGCGGTGAGCAAAACGCTAAATTGGCGGTCGGTAGCGCTCGACCGAGCATGGGAAAGATGGGACACCAAGTTGCCTTCTTATGCCACCTACTGGTTTGAGGAATCGAACTGTGAAGCCCTGAGCTAGGCAAAATGGAGGGCGGAAAGGCGGAGCTTTAGCCATGGACATGCCGTGGAGGGTGCACCCGAGCATGGCGAGTGGTTTAAGACGGTGCAGCTCCATTGGATGGCGGTAGCTCGAACACGTGCGCACAGGTGATGGTTCATGGGTTTGGCGTGACGCGCTTGAATGGAGTTGCAGGACCCGAGTAGGGCTCACCGACATCGGCTAGCGGGCGAGGTCGGGAAACATCTCGTCACCACAGTGACCGGGGTCAACGACCGAGGCGCGGTGGTAGGGGCACACGTCCAAAGACTCGACGCGGTAGGTAGGATGAAAGGTGGGGCGAGCGCCACAATGGCAAGGTGGTGACAGCCACAGCTCCGCCACGGCCCCGCGCACAGCTCGATGGCTGGCGTTGGTGCACGCACACCGCGGCCGGGTGACCAGACCATGGCCAGCCGGGTCGGGCCACGCAAGACCTGGGCGCAGCGCGGCATGGGCCTGGCGCGCGCACGAGCCGACGACCATGGCTTGGTCGCGACGTGACCCCAGTGCCACCATGTTGTGCCCACAGTGACCGTGAACCCAGTCCAAACGGCTGCCCTAGGTGACGTGCACACATTTCAAAGCGTAGCAAAAGTTACTAACGATCACAGTTGAGGTTCAACTAACTCCCCTATCGTAAAGTCCATATTGCCAACGACCTAGCAATACCATCGCCGTGACCAGAAGACCACCAGGGAAGGAGGTAGATGGATGCCAATGTGAGCTCGTCGCTCTGAATATCAGTTCACGAACAGAGCGCCAACGACACGACTTTTACACGTTTTAACGAGGTTCGAGCAATTTTTGCGAGGGTATCGTGACACCCAACACCACTACCACCTAAGCCATGCTCAAGTACTCACTTAGAGGCAACCAACGGTACAAGAACATGTTGTTAGTGTTTAAACAATTTGGTTAGAATTTGAGTGTTAAAACGACATGGTCTACTATCATTTCCGGATTTAGAAGAGGGCAAGGTTCGGTTAGAACTAACAACCATTAGCACTTTTATTGCAATTTTTTTAATATATCTAAACCTTATTAATTTCAACCAATGAATATTTCACTCAATAGCCCATACTACATACTAACCCATCGGAACAAAACATTTAAACACCTTTTAACTATTTTGCTCAATATAACTCATAAAAAATGACGTTCATAACCTAAGTTTAATTTTTTGTCGATTCAACGGAAAGTTTTAGTTTAAATTTCGAATTCGATTTTTGAGCTCAAGAACACTAGTTAACAACATTTTTTTTCAAAAATTAAAGTTCCATTTTCAACTACACCACTTGCTTATCATCTTTACTTAAGTACTACACACAAGTTATATTTTATTTTTGTTTATATAAATTATTTTTCGTTGACCTTAACCTAGGAGCTAAGCAAACTCGTTACACCAGTGATGTTACACTGTAGCTGCACTGTGGAGGAGCCGCCGCAGCCTCCAAATTGTAGCTCCTCTGGCTCCGTCACTTTCCCCTTGGTGAGCAAGCTACCGTAGAAAACAGTGCGGCACAGTATCAACGGAGGAGGAGCCCGAGCGGCAGGAGCTGCGCCAAGCACTTTGCTACCATCTCCCAATTAATGCTACCTTAGTTTCGAGCTTGCTCTTTGCTGGAACACTCTGAAATGAGGCCGTGGCTTAGCTACAAGTAAAGGCCATTGCACCTACACCCAAAAATTTGGTCCTCGCGAGGTTTGAATTCAAAATTTGGTCTAGCCCTAATCACATCGCAGGACAGCTGCACGAAATTCAGGCCGCTGATACCGAGCGAAGCATGCGGGTTACTCTGGTTTTGATTATCAATACCAATTGCAACTTTCAAACGATAACTACGACCAGAACAGAAACTGGATTCCACACGAGTAGAAATAATGAGAAGTACTCGCACTTCACCATGAAACTAAAGTCAATTCCACGGCACCTACACAATGACAGAAACTGACCTTTAAAGCTCGAATTACAGCGTGTTCACGTTGCAACCCACAATGGCTTGTGAGCATAAAACCATCTGCAGCCACAGGCAGCCACTCACCATTCTAATCGTCATTAATGAAATTTGTTATTTCAAAACTCTAGCGTACAAAAAGTTCTGTTTACATATTATGACTTATAAAGGACTATAACAATTTGGATGTTTAATAACATTCATCCCTTGTTCAAGTTTACAGGATTTGTGGCACAAACTAGTAGCACAACACTATTAGCTCTGTCCGTATAGTTTATGATGTAATAATGTTACAATTGAAATACATGTGTGATGGATTCAAAATCTCTTTGGCCACTCAAGAGAGTAAACCATGGATGTAGCTAAACCAGTGATCGATCTCATTAGTTCTTGGTGCATCAGCACATCCGCTTGGCAATTAGGGTTGAGTAAGTTGTCAGATCAACCATTGTTCAGTGCTGCTGCTAGAATCGTAGCCTGTGGATCTTTCTCCAAGGCAAGTAGTCCCCAAAGAGGTCAATGCTAGAATCTAGTCTGCTGCACCTGAGAGCCGCTGCACATGCAACGTTATGGCTTCGGGACAGGGGGACTGGGCTCGTAGAAGTTCCAGGCGGTTAAACGGATGTACAAACTGAAGAACATAGTCTTCATCTGTAATGTAATACAAGGGACAAACAATAACATGAGTGAAAATACTCATGATTGAGAGGTCAACATTATGAACACACGAACAAAAATCCAAAAGTTGCCAAGTTAAAATGCAACTACTTGGAGGTGAATAAATTCTTACTCTCTCTGACAGTCCCATACAACCAGCATAAGACCTCATCGGCAAAGGCCAGGCAAACGCCACCCTAAAGTACAGAGAAATCGTTACAGGTATTCAAAGCCATGTTACAATTTGGATGAATGAAAGTAACTGCAAATTTCTATTTAATTAAATAAATCTAATTTGGAGGAAATCCTTTGGATTCTCAACTTTCGACAAAAAAAATGTCACCTCATTTTAAAGTGTTTAAAATAGGTAGTGTACCAGAAACATGTGTACATTACTTTCCCTTTTATTCATGAGATGCTTCACAAATTAGCTCAGCGTTGCTAGATTCTTGCACTGCTGATAAATAGTAGGAAAACTGTTTGAAGTACCTGCCAGTAGTTCTTTGCCTTCACCTTTTGTGTAATATCTTTGGTTCTTAGTCTTTCCGTTCGTACAAGTATGCCAGCATCATTCCTACAGGCCAAAAGAAGTGCAGAGCAAAATTTGGAATAGTTTAAACTGGTACGGAACACCACAACCAATGTAAATATTTCATCGGAAGCATTAGATACATGTCAGGTGATTGAAAACTCATGGTAGGCAAGGAATTCAGTCTTACAGACTTATGACAGACAATGTGTTACATATACAACAAAAAAAGGTGGAATCCATAGCAACAGCAATAAAAAATGATAGTACTCCATAGCAATTACTTGTATAAGACCACCACACAGATCAGTATGAAATGTCACATCTCTACAACTAAAAAGCAGCGAAGGTTTTCGTTCACCGGATACTTTCACCGCGTGCCCTGCGATCAGCGCCCCTCCGGCTTTCACTACGTGCGTGCGAGATCCACGCTCCTCCAGGTTCCACCACGTGCGTGCCTCTTCTGTTGCTTTCCTTAAAAAAACTGTCACCCAAATACGGAGTGCCTCTCCTATTCCGTTGCCTAGAAAGCCAGCAATAAGAAATCAAGAATCAATCGTCGACACCTTCCCCGCATGCGAGCCGTCGCACCCCAGTCGTGGGTCGTCCACGCCACGCGCACCCTCAACGAACACGAAGCAGGGCTCCCCGCCGAAGCGGCCCTCACCACAGTCGAACCTGGCGAGATCGCCGGAAGCCAGATCCACCTTGGTGAACCCAGACACCTTGGCCCACGGCTCCACCTCGACGAGAGGTACGCGTGCCGCTTCTTGCGCCCCAGCATGTTGCAGTTGACCACCCCCACCTCGAAGTTCACCTGCCTCGACGGCGGCAGCACGGCGCAGCACGTGGACGTAGCCATGCGCGTGTCCAGGCAGATCTCGATGAGCAAGCTCTAGAGGCAGTGTGGATCATCACGGTGGGTTGCTCCAGCGGGATCTCCACATCCACGTGCTATAGACTAAAACTTGGATTGGTGTCATATTTCTCAGTTGCTGGTTATCATCTTCGATAATCTTTAAAGAACACATACCATTGATTGGCAAGAAGCATTGCAGTAATGCATACCGAGTTACAGTTTGGCTAGGTAAAGTATTGCATCAGGTCATTGTGCATAGTTTTTGCACATTGTCATTCATGCTTCTCGCTCAGCACTTAATTCTATTTGCTCTTTAATTACTGTTAGCTCGTCGCAAATATGGAACTAAAGTATTTTTTCTACCTGGAATTACGTGATACTGGTTTTTAGTTCTTAGGTGGATTTGTCCAAATTTGCATTGTATTATGGGAACAAAAGACACTTGGATGGTCATAGTTGTGACCGCCATTCAGTAAAGATCCTTAGAAATTTGGACAGCTTCTCAGAATCATCTATGGACTGCCCAAAAAAAAAAAGTTACATCAACAGTCACAGTTTGGTCAGGTTTTTCATGCCTGTTCCATCCACGCTTTGGTAGTTCTGCCAAAGTAAGCAAGCCATAGCAGATAAATCGTCTATCTAATAGTTTGCCTTGCAATTTAGAAGATTTGCTAACTCAATTAAGTATTGTCCGCAACTCGACTACCTGTGCATACTGGCAATTAAGGAACATGCCATATATTCTATGATATAAAATTTTCTTTGGCTAGCAAAGTATTTCTTAATAATACACGTCTGGTTAATTGGAATTAGTTCTCAAAATGAATGGTTGTTGAGCACCTTTAGTTTGTATGACTGTTTTATTGGGTAACTAAATTAAAATCCTTATGATCCTCTACTAAATTATGACACAGCCTAGCTAAGCTCAACCAACAGGGAGCTTGACCCAAGAAATGTAGAAACGTTCCTGCGAGGAGTTCCAATGGACGATGAAGCGTGTAATAGTGATATTGCAAATAATCACGTTCGTATTATCGTTTTTTAGGTACAGTACAACACACGTTCATACTTATATTATCATGACATTACATTTTTTCCCGTTGCAACGCACGGGCATTTACCTATGTATTACAGTTATGATTGCGGTATCTATTTTAGATAACAGTATAACACACGCTCATACATATGTTATCGTGGTATTATGTGTTCCCGTTGCAACGCACGGGCATTTACCTAGTTATTAATTAATAATGTATCTATAACATAAACGGAGAGGTATCAAGGCCCAATGCTACAATTAGCAAAAGATTTTGCATATATAATCATATCAACAAGATTTAATTTCAGCAGTCAGATGAGTTTGCAAAATAGCAAGTAACAAAGTTTAGTACCCATCATAATGTAGAGAACATGATAAAAGGTGAATAATACCTGAATCCCACAACAACATAAGGAACACCAGCAAGGAATGATTGAATCTACAACATTTAGATAAGTAAAGAAAGTCAATATTTTGAGGATATAATAAGAAGTTATACCTTCTGAAATCTAAAAAAATCCTAAGTTGCTGAAACGACATAGTGGACAGACTTGTAACAAAATTGCTAAGTTATCACTCGCTACTATCCAAAATAAAATTTCACACTGCAAAAGAGGATAGAATAATAAAACGCATAGGCAGTTATGAAATTATGAAAATACTTCAAATTACGTAATATAACAGCGAAGAGAAAGGTAGCAGGAGTAAACCCTGAACTTAAGTATAGCTTATAAATGGGGAAAAAGAGAGTATGAATTACCCAAAATCTAAGTAGTTTTTCTTTCTCATATGCTTCCACTGTATGGTACTCCAGCTGTTACACATCAAGTTCAAGGACAGAATCTTATTATTATTAATTTTTTTTAAAAAAAAGTGATGCAGAACTTAACAATTCATGCAAAAAATAACCTCTCTGCTTGTTTTCAACTCCACATAGAACCGCCTGCCATCATCAGTTGCATCACAGCAGTCCATCTCAGCACCCATGACAATGCGATGGGCACCCAATTTTGTCTTTATTACAGAACAAAACTCAACATTTGCATCAATACCTCTTCCATCGTCGCTGAATGAGTTCTCAGTGGCAAGGTTTTCAAAAGAATAGCCCCAATAACATCTGGGAATCGAATGTAGAGGGGAGAAAATACAGGTTCATCAGTATTATTGTGGTTTGGATTATCATTAAGCCACTGCTAAGCTAATTTGGCAGAACATCAACAAACAAAATAACCAGGAATCAATGTGCGTGTATAAATCATAAATAGAGTTATAGGGGTCTATACTTGGTTCCTTAAACACGGCTGGCCTATCAAACTGGAATGCAAATGAGCCGCTTTTGTAGCCCATGACCTTATCTTTTTATATTTCCCACCTTGTCCAATCTCCAATGCTCAGATTATTAAATCACTCCATCCTTTTTAAATGGTCCACAAAAATCCATGTCATCATGCTTTCAAAAGCAGTACAATCTGAACAAGGCGAAAACTATCTACATTGGCCATATGAAAACTATATTATTAGATATATCATCAGGGGCGGAGGGAGGGGGGGGGCTGGCCTCCCCCTACAGCCTGCTAATTCTCTTTCAGGTACTTAAATACATGGACATTATTAGCACAATTATAGGCCTTGGCCCCCCCTAGTTCTAAGCCCAAGTTCCAAGCAAGCTAGCAGCCCAATTAGAAGGTAAGCTGAAGAGACGAGCAGCAGGCCAGCAGCCGTATTCTGTTCTGTCCCCAAGTTGCCTCCTCGTCTCCCCAAGTACTGTTTGGCTTCTCGGCTCCCGCAGCACGGCAGCAGCAAAATACAAGCAGCGGAGCAGGAAGCGGAAGGCCGGAGGCAGGACATGGACATGCCAGACGCGCCAGATGCCGTGTCGTGATGTTGCCGTCGGACGCCGAGAGTCGAGTCTCCCGTCTCCATGACGCCCATCTGCCAGGCAACAGGCATGCTGTCTTGTGTCTTGGTTTTCCTCCTTTTGTTCTTTCTACGTGCACATAATTATTTTTATCTTGATCAATGATCACTATCTAAATTTCTCTTTCGAATTTAGGTGATATGAAGAGGAAAAAAAACCATTCAAAGCATTTTGCATAACATTATTGCCCTGATATTATGGTTATAACTATAAGAACGATGAATCAAACTTGGTTCTATTTTGTTTGTTATTTGTGCCGCCCCTCCTATGTCAGATTCCTGGCTCCGCCCCTGTATATCATTAAAGTTTTCATGAAATATTGATTGTACTAGTATTCATCAACACATGAAGTTTAAGAATGGTTTGAGATTCGAATTTACATCTTCCCCAAATTTCCAAACTTCCTGCCAAGTATTAACATTTCAAATAACTATATGTTATCGCGTCATATGGCAAATATGGCAATAAACCAAATCAGCGTCATGAAACTATGATGAAACAGGGCAACAGTTTTGCATTTACAAAGTTTTTCTGGTTTCTGGTTTCTGGTTTCATGTACGTCGACATAGTTACTCACGTGCTGAATCACCACAAGACACCTGCGCAAACTCAATCTACCCAACATATTTATACACTAACTGCAATAGGTAAGGATTCAGTTTCTCAAGGAAATGGTTCCTGACTCCTGAGAAACTGATTCTGTTTCCTGAGAAACAGGTTTTTCTGGTTTGTGGTTTTTGTACCAAGAAACATTTCTGAATGTCTCTAAATTCTTGAACCATTTTGCAAGAATTCTCTTGTTTCTCTTCAGAAAACAAGTTTTTGTTTGGTAGGGATTCTCCTGTGTTTGGAGAGAATCAGTTTGGAGAATCCCTACCAAATGCACTCTAACCTTGACTAATTTCTTTGCTGTTAAACCTTCTATTGTCAGCAAGCACGCTACATGCCATACCATCATCATCTAATCTGTACATGCAAGGGGACAAAATATAATGCGGAGGGGCAGAGAAATCACCTCCTACGCTCCACTTCACTTTTTGGTCTTTCAGGGAGCTTATGAACATCAAGGTATACAACACCCCTCCTTTTATGAACGCCCATCTTCCATGGTTCTCTTAGGTAAGCAGTGGCCAATATCTGTTGATAAAATATAAGTTGTTGTATTGGTCTTACAGAATAAAAGCGTATAAAAAGTTCAAAAAAAGTTATGTTATTGAGTGATTAGAAATGTAAGGAAAAAAAGGTAGGGTACAAAAAAATGTGGTCCTTCAGACAATTTGCACTGGAAGCACCATACAGCAATGCCTTATTGAAAATTCACTAAAAATGTAAATAACAGGAAGGGGAAAAGAAGTTTTAGACAGTTTACAATAGATGAATGATACCTTGTTAAGATTGTTGCGGTATGTCTGCAAGAAGAGCATATATTATCACCATGTCTAAGAAATTTTTAGTAAGGTAACAAATACAAGATTGGCATCAATGTAATGTTACCACAAAATGTATAGTATGCTGAAGAAGTATGTTGGAATTTCGTATGCATGCGAGTAGATCGCCAAATCCTTCAGAACCCAAATCTGACATTGAAGTATTGAACCACATTCATCATCATGAAGTAAAACCCTCAGATGCAACAATATTAAAAAGAAACGACTAACTTCCAATAGCAGAATTACTGCTTTTCAGGATCCATATGCAGAATGCAAAAGGAGAAAACTGAATTGAGTTTTCCCCTCCCTTTTCTCTACTATTTGAAATAACTTCTACTTGTATTCTCTATGTTATTACTATGTATATGGCCTAAGAAGTGGTCCATCCAATTTAAGCAATATATCATATTAATTAAAAAAATGTGAGGTACAGACAGCAACAGATTCATACACTAATACAATAAGATTATAAGAGTAGTAAATATCAATGATGTAGAGAAGAACATGAGTCATAAAAAGAATGTACCCTTCTTCTCTATAGATGACTCGAATCCTTTATTGAGATCTGCACCGACGTAATCACAGATTTCACGTTTGAAGAGCCTCTAGAAAACATAAAGGACGTTAGAACAACATCTAACATAACAAGAAAAGCTAATAACATAGACATTTTTTAGCAGATATTCACTGTGAAGGAAGAGAAATCAATGCCAGTTAGCAACTCCAAGGTCTTACCAAGCTGCGATCATCAAAATATACCTCTCCACCCTCAACACGACTTAAGCATGCAATCTCACAAGGCTGCATAAGAGACAAAGAACATGACTCCACATAGAAGAGTAACAATCAGAAGATGAAATGAACATGATAATACTACACACCTCCTGAAAAGTAACAGCTTTTCTAGACAATGTTTCTTCGCTCTTATTAAGCTTCATATCTGAAACTAAACCTTCAACATGACGCCCGTTCCCAAATCTCCCATAACCAAAGTTATGTCGCCCTGGATGGCCTCCTGGCCTTGGAAGAAGTGGTGGGCCTCTACCACCTCGTCCTCCGAAGCCTCCTCGAGAATGATTATTAGTGTTCCGTATTGCAGGAAGCACTGTAAGAAACCCATGATGAACCAAAGTATTAATACTTCCACCTTTCAATCCAAATCCACTCAAGCTTTTAAAAGCATTAGTTGCACTAAGCCCCCAAAATATAAAGTATCTTGCCCATGGAAAAAAATCAGTTCATTTGTCACATTCTTTCTTATAAAGCAAGGGTCCTATAACAGAGTACTGGTAGGTTGAATGGACCTTGAAACAGCAGAATTTGAGTTGTCACATACAAAGCTTGTGTCTGGTGTCCACTGCTATACCTCTGTCAGCATAACCCCACAAAAGAAATGTGTAGTAACTTTCAGGGAGGTTCTCGATGAGAAGATGTATAGCATATGCTCAAAGCTGTAACTATTTGCTACATTATAATTGTGATTTCACTCCAGTTGTGATCCTTGAGTAAAAACTTCAGAGTCCATGTCTTTTGTGAGCTGGTATTATTCACCCAGAAAGGGCTTTGAGAATTCATTTCGCAAAGGCAGTATTCTTCAGAGTCATTTACAGTTGTATGAAAGTTGGAAATGAAAATGGCTAGACGTATGCTTCCCAACAAACTTCTATCCAACTTTGTGGCAAATACTTTTTGCATTAAATGGTTTGAACTCAAACTATGCCTACTGATATGTTAAAATACCATGCTGCGCAAAAAAAAAAGCCTAATAATAACAAAAGGTCAGGAGGCAAAGGTCCATAACCTACAATAAACCTCCCACATTACGCCTAAGGAAAGTTGATGAGAAAGAAACAAGCAAAGAATCACGGACAGAGAAAGATTCACCATTTACACACCCTCAAGGGGAAAATTGTACAATGCCAAAGTGCACCCCATCTTACAAAACAATACGAACAACCTACTCACAACAAAACCATTGGATAAACTTGGCAGGATTCAATAACGGCCTCCTAGCTAATTCAATGGCGACACAGAAGCTACTACTATTCAATCTAGAAACTGACTTTCAATGGCGACACAGAAGCTACTACTATTCAATCTAGAAACTGACTCTAGGGCATTGGTACCCAACTTTAGTATTGACGAGAGGCGGACCTGGGACTAGGTAGTTGCTGCGCGCCGGGGTTCTGACGTACTCTTCGTTGTCTGGGCCGAACAAATCTCTCTCCTCCTCTACCTCCTCGTTCTCGTACTCCCCCCTCTCATCGTCCCGGTAGCCGGCGGCGCCGGCGCCCCTCGTGGCTATGAGGTTGGACGAATCGTATTCCTCACCGTCCCCCTCGTCGGCGCCATCCTCGCCCTCACCGGCAGCGCCGCCGCTGCTGCTGCGGCTTGAGCCGCCACTTGAGGATGAGGAGGACGCGGCAGCAGAGGACGACGAGGACGAGGACGGGGAGGAGGAGCCCGAAGAGTCCCCGCCGCCGTCGGCCTCGGCCTCGGCGCCGCCGTCGTGGATGTCGTAGTCCTGTTCCGAGAAGTCCATGGCGGGCGCGGCGGGGGCGGTGAGCCGGCGAGGCCGGGAAGAGCCTTTTCCTTTCAGGCCTGGTCGTGAACCGGAACGGAGAAGGATTGTGGTGGGATCCAACACGACAGGGAACGAAAGGAACCCTCGAATAGGGTTCACCAAGATCGACGGGCACTGTATCGGTCAGTAGATCCAAGAGAATACCAGCCATACTGCTATGGCATTTGACATTTGTTTGGTTTGGTTTGGTGTTAAAAAGTACTGAGCGTCTATTTGGAACAGAAAATTTTAAAATAGAGTAAAAAGGGAAAACACAAAAATATATCTACAATTATAAGATAAAAAATATAGAAATTTTATAGGAACATGCCTTTGGAACAAAGGAATTCAATAACATGTTTATATTCCTCCATTATAGCAAATAAGTACTTGCCCATTCCTCCATTCACATGTACGGAAATTAAGAGCTTAGAGCAGATGTTTCATTGCCTCCGTTTAACAAAAGAAAGCAAACATTTTTATGGAAAAGAAAAACTCCATTCCTCCATTCCGAAAGCTATGTGACGTAAGCAAAATATAGGAATTAGATTCCTTTGAAATTTCTATAAAATTTCTTTGAGTCCAAACAAGCCTAAAGGGAAAAGGTCCATGCAATCAAAAGAACCAATTGTTAGATACTCTATCCGTTCCAAATTATAAGTCATTTTGATTTTTTTTTACATTTATCTTGATATGCTTCTAAATATAATAATATGTCTATACATACCAAAATTGATGAACCAAAAAAGTCAAAACGACTTATAATTTGTAACGGAGGGAGTATATACCACCAAAATAATAAATTTAAGATATGTATACCATCAAAATATGTCACTTCTTAGTGGTATACTACTTTTATTAATTCCACATTAGTTGTGAATATTGTACCCTTGCTAGAAAAAGATTAAAAGGCTTAGGAGTGTAGTTGCACTCTGACCCCCACTTAGTGATGGCAATCACACCCGTGGGTGCGGGTGCCCATGGGCACTGCCCTATTAGGGTGCGTGTACAGGTGCAACATCGGACCCGTGGGTGTCCTCGGGTCGGGACCTACGATGGTGTCAGGCTAGGTGCGGGTGTCATATTTCACCCGCGAAGCCTGAAAACGTATATTTTTTCTATTTTTCCTCCAATTAGGCATCTTGTACCTCTTGACTCTTCCGCAACTCATTGTATTTTTCCCTTTTCTTGTTCATGTGATAATGAGCCTCTTGCAATAGCTCAATGAGTTTCTCCTTAGAGGGCTCCTCACTCTCACTCCTACTATCGCTCCATCTTATTGTATCTTTGGACACTTATCCATGAAGCATGATGACTGATAGAGGGAAGGCTTCCTATTGATGGCGATGCCAATAAGTGACTTGGATTGCCTTTAATCTTCACTATCACTCGATGCATTAATGCCCACTCGACACAATAAAGCATGACCCTTCTTCTTCCCCTTTAAGGTCATTTTTTTGCCTTCCTTGTCCTTCTTGGACTTGATGTTCTTATCCTTGGAGCTCTTCTCTTTCTTGTTGGGACAATCAGCGGTGTTACACCCTAAACAAACCACTAAACCATATCATGAGCATTATGTTTATCTAATAAAGTATGTGATAAAGTGTGTAGATTAATTTCTTGTAACATAAAATGACAAATAAAAATGTTAAATGAAAGTTGATTCAATAACTCATGTATATCAAGTAGGGTTGAAAACCAATTTTTATTAAGCAAAAGTATTATAGAACATGTGTGTGACACCTAAATAAGGTTTGAAGTACAAACTTTGTAGATGACAATGCAACTCTGGCCGTAGAAAAAGAGCATTGCTAGCTAGTATTTCTAATGGCCTAAAAATGAATCTAGCTCAAGACTTATAAGATTTTCAAGTTTGAAAATAGGGTGACGACGTTATATTGGTGAATTAATTCCGTGCAATTTAGCTAGGCAGTGGTGTCATGTTTTAGCCCATGCTGGTAGTCTGATATGCCCGCTTTAGCATAGTGAAGGTGGTTTGGTCTCAACTTCCATAGTCCGGTTGTTATTGACGCTTTAAAATTCGTGCACATCACCTGCTCGGTCTGTGTGCACGGTCGCCATGCGCCTATGCTCGCCGTGGTCATTCCAGTTGGGCCACGCGCGTAGGGCCACATTGCTGGGCCAGGGTCGCCCTCGGCCGACCGTGGCTTAGCTACGGCCTGGCTACCACTAGCCGCTACCGCTGCTCGCCTAGCCATGCGGTGCTGCTGGATGCCCCGCCGCTCCTGCTGCACTGTTGCCCCTGCCCCGCACCGTGGCGCAGCTACTGCCAGTGCCATCGCGTCCGCACCCCCCTACACCTCCGCGCCGCTGCTGGTCCGGTCCGATGCCTGCCACTGCTACGCGCACATGGCTGGGCTCGCCGTCGTCTTGCCATTTATGGCACTGCGGCCGCGCGGGCCGTGCCCGATCATCGACGCACACGGTTGGTCTGCAGTGTCTACGCGCGTGTCTCCCCGATCGCGTTGGCCGTGTCCCACCAAGACGAGGTCGAGCTAAGCCCCACCTACCAACCTCTCTCTGCTTCCATGGCCGGCTGGGTCGCGCCATTAAATCCGTTAGGGAGGGATCACCTTGAGCCGATTCGTCGCGTCACTAGCTTCGCCATCAAGTCGCCTAGCCACCCGACCCCACCCCGCCTTGGACCGAGCCCAGCCAAACTTCAATTTTGGTGTTTCCTCGCCGTCGAGCCAATAAGGCCGTGTGCGTCAAAAGCCAATGGTAGTTCCACATCGAATCCCCCATAGCCAATTCGTCTGTACCACTAGCCTCGCCTTGACTCTCTCTCCACCCTGCGTGCTCCAGTGAAACCACTACCGCCTCCCCGGTGTCGCTGACGCGGCCGTCTCCGCCACGGCTCATCGTGGAGCTCGCCGCGCGCACGTGACCAGCTATGGCAGAACCGCCCAAAATAACACGCTTTCAGAGGTGCTCGTCTTCCTCTAGACACTAAGCATCTCGAAAGTTAGCTACATCGGATAGTTCCATCGAGCCCACCCTAAGAGAGAACTCAAAACAATCCACGTTTTATATCCAGAATCCAATAATGAGTGCAAGCTTATAATACTTAGTCTATTTCTTACAACAAGAGTTATTAAAAATTATTTATTATAATACCAGAGTTCTGAGTGCGATAATTAAACAGCGGAATGAAAATAAACATCTAGCAGAAATGATACAAGGATCCATCTGTGCCCACCAGTAAAATCCTCCACATAAGAGCTACTCCTCAGGCTGCACCTACAACAAGAATAGAATAAACCCTGAGTACACAATGTACTCGTAAGACTTACCCTACTAGTGGGAATAGTTTTTTGACTCTAAGAAGTATGATAGGCAATATGGGTTTGTTGTTCTCTTTTTGTTTTCTAAAAACATTACTAATAGTTAATCCTTACAGTCAAGTTTTATTAGCAGTCATGATTACTTCTTTAGCTAACCATTCTAGGTAAGCACATATTCTACTTTCAAACAAGGATTAAGCAATCAGAACCATTTCACCATCTTTTATCTTCCAGTTCTTACTATAGTGCTAGATCATAGCCAAGTCGTATCGTCTCACAAAAACAGCGATTCATGAACTAATGTATCCCAGCTGGGTACCCCGAAGCTACTATAAAATTACAGTGAGCACATAATAATACCATGAAGCTACTATAAAATTTTTAAGACTAAAGCTATCACCAATTTACCACAAAAAATCTTACAATAATTCTCCTAACAATATTAAATATTTTCAAATAATTAAATATCTCCTGGTATCAACATGTATATATATGAACTAAATACACTAACATATAGAGCATAATTTTAGAAACCTAACAAAATTTGTTTCACAATTTTTGTACACCTACATGATTTTATATGATTTACCAAAGATCAGCTCAAAAATTAAATTAGAAAACTATTTCTAATTCATTATGAAAAAGAAAAACGAAACCTCCCTCGCGGACCACACGCGCGGCCCACGTGACATCGGCCCACGCACGCGAGGCGACCCGCGGCGAGGAAGCCCATGCGCGCCGGCGCTTTTGTAGAAACGCACCCGCGCTATCCTCTATTAACACGGTGCCTATGCGTACTATTTGTACAGACAACGTTTATGCAAGAAGACCCTTGTATTAACCCGTCTTCGCATCGGAGAGGTCCTCGACGCCTCCGCGCTCACCGACGTGGCATTGACCGACACTGGGCCGCTACGCTGGCCAACTAGGGACCCCCTCGACCCATCTAGAGGACCGATGCTCACCTATGGGACAGCGTGCAACAATGGGCAGTGATTTAGAGACTAGAGATGAAGGGGCGACCTCTCCACGTTGGCGGACAACCTGCGGTGGCAACGACAACATTCCGATGAGCCACGACGCTAAGGAAGCAGTAGAGGTAGCGGGTGAGCATCAGCGACTCACCAAGGACCTAGCCGAGGCGATGGTTCGGCTGGAGACGCCTCGAGCAAGACTGGCCACGTATGCATGGCGAGCTCAGCGATGAGCCACGGCAGACACGACCGTGTCAGCAGTGTTAGGACAATGGTAGGGGTACGGCTTAGGTACGCATGGCAAGGAGGGGTTCGAGGCGAGTCTAGCCGTGTAGCCAATTTGGCTTGAGGTGGTCAGATGGGAGCTACCCTCGATGATGGGCAGACTCGGCCTTATCGGCACGGTGGTGGGGAAAAGCTCCAAAATTGAAGCTCGACCGGGCGCCATTCAAGGTCGGGTGGGGGTGTGTAGCTAGGCAGTTGTGTGACAAAGCCAGCGACATGACGAATTGGGTGATGGCGACTCCTTCCTACTTGTTTTAAATGGCGCGGCTCAGTCCACCAAGGCCGTAGCCAAGAGAGAGGAGATGGAATAGGTCGGAGCTCAGCTCGTCGTTGCCTTGGCAGGATACGAGCGACGCGATCAGGACACCCATGAGCAGGCACTACGGACAAGGCATGTGCGCATCCGACCGGCCTG